GAAGGTGGGAGGGGCGACCAGACTCTCAGCTGGGCGAGCTATGAGATTTTCAAGACTGAGAATAAGGGGAACGGGACTCAGTGGTTGAATATTCACGAGTACAGAGAGGGAGAGGGAGAGTCTTCTGACTCGGAGTCGGTGACGGAAACCAAGAAGGTGGCCGTGACTGTTACGCGGAGTACTGGTTTTGTGACCGATACGGTGGATGTAGATATCACCAGCGGCCTGGTGACATTATCTGGCCTGCCAACCCTCGGGTTGAGTCGCACTGCTGGAACGACTCCCACGACAACTGGATCAGGTGTTCCTACTGGGACGAACACAGCAGGCTCGGGTGAATCGTCGGCGATGGGACGTGCGGTGATTGGGTTCCGAGCAGGACAGGTGCTGAGTCTCGTAGCGGCTGTTAACGCGGTAATTGCTTGGCTTTAAGTTCAACTCCAAGCGTGCATGTAAAGAATTTCCTAGGGAAGTTTCTCCCCGATTGGGACACGTTGGTGAGTGTGGCAATAAAGCCCACCCCACCGCTTCCAGATGGCTATTTTTAATCAACCACCCATCATCTAATGTGTTATTTTTAAAAATTAATAATTATTGCTTCAAACAGCTCAACTCAAATCCAGACCCAAAGACCTGAGACCAAGCTCCGACCCCTATCCCGTTATCCGTACTGGCACAATTAATCACAGACACGGAATAATCATAATAGACAGAACCACCACTCCACCCAAGATCATACCAATCACCACACCTGCGCGCTTTCCATCACTCCATCCCTTCCAAACAACCGGGAACGTCTTCTCCCTCTTGTACCCATAGTCAATCTTTTCAAACTCGATATTTGCGAGGGGCTTGAGTTGTTCATAACAGACGCGTAGGAAGGTCTGGGAGCCGAGGATGTTCGCAGCCTTCACGAACGCTTTCGTATCTTTGCAGTCCGCGCCTGTGGGTGCAATGTTAGTGGGTAGCCACCGAATAGCATCACGGTGAAAGAGAAAGGGGAAACCTACCACAACAGCAAGGCAACCGCCCATATTTAAACGTCGAGTCATCATACTGGGAGTTCCAGTCATACTTGCCCGTGTCACACACCGGAATCGTCCAGGTGCCTGACCACCCTGCTCCTTCGGCGAACGGATCCAGTGTGTGGTTGCTGGCCATAGCGGCCTCCAACTCCTTCAGCTGTATCTCTTGGGTGTAGTTAAACCCCCCTGCTCTGAACGCCCTCGCCGAGGATTTCGTAATATCATACCCGGATATCCCAAACTGCGTACCGTTCAAGTCGTCTAACCCTTCGGGTTTGCTCAGTCGAGACGTCATTCTGCCCTCATGCATCCTGCGCCACCTCGTTAGTCACAACCCAGCAGAAGGAAACAAACCGACTTACCGATACAAATAATAAACCCCCTTATCCTCCTTGGAATAATACTTTGTCTGATTCGGCCCTGAAATATCATCCTCGTCCAAGGTTTGCGTAAACATGATAAAAACTTCACTCGTCCTCCACTTTTCATTAATCGTCCTCGACGCCATCTGCGCCTTGTAAAAAGACTCGATGGCTCCCGGCGCCGGAATCACACTCGCGGCGACGAACGCCCCGCCGGCAATGTAATTCAGGATCGTCCCGTCCGAGCCGTCTTTCTGTCCCTGAAACGTCGTATTCGCCCATTCAGAGAGCGTATTCCGCGTACTCTCTCCGTATTGCGACGCATAGTTCTGCATTTCAATGACAGAAAGGGCGTTGGTCGCCGGAAGCGGCTCCAGCTGATCGTTGACGGTGGTGGTTGAGCCGATCAGCAGGGCGCCGGCACCAACGCCGACGAGAGCTGCAGTCTCGCCTGCGAGGAGCGGGAAGGCGAACAGGACGGTAAGGATGGCGATGATCCACGGCACGGCGTCGCCAAAGGGGAAGGTTTGGTCTTTGGGGGGGAAGAAGGTTTTGGCGATTTGGGGGATGCTGTTGGTGTAGTCGAGTTGGCCCGCAACGACGCCGTCGAAGATGGCGTTGAAGTACATGTTGAGGTTCATGACCGACACGAGAGCCTGATACGACCAGACTGGACTTTCGGATCGGACGAAAACTGTGATTATTCCATCAGTCTCCTCTCCTCTTCTTGATTCTCTCCACCGATGTGGGTGTGGGCACCAACCATCACACCCCGAAATAGTGCACGAAGCCTCCTTATTAATCCCACACTCAAAAAACGTCCTCTGATCCCCAAAGGACTGCCCCAGCGCCCTCGCAAAAGGTACATCGCCTGGTTGACTGGTCCACCAGCTACGCAGCTGATTATCCGTATCCGCCGCAATATAGGCTTCCCGAGTGGCCGCCCATGCCGAGTTCACGGAGCATCGGTCGTTTCCTTGTGACATTTTGCAGACTCACTTGCACACAAAAAGGAGCCGCCGAAAACGTGCCCATTGCACGAGTGCGATCCCGCCATCTTATCAAGGCCTGCAGTTCATGCCAAACGTCCCATTGCCAAGGGAGCCTCGCGATGTATTAGCGACTAGGCAGACCGGGCTGCTGTCAGCGCGGCTAGATCCGCTCAATTATTGTTTCGCGAAACGCCAGAATTATCGTTTGACGTCTTGCTCTGGCTCCGCGAACAGGGCAAAAGAGGTTAGCGTATTGGTATGCAGGGGGTTCGGCAAGGCGTACGCAGGTCCCGGCCAGGCACCTCGGGCTGGAATTATTGGGAAGTCTGTCAGATGACGACACTACTGCAGATTGTAATTATTTTTATCCTTGTTTGAGCTACAGCGTTATCGCGGGCATAACCGGAAGGTGCATGGAATTCATCTGTAATTATTCGTGCTTATAAACGAAATTGTATTTATGATTTCCTGATTATTAGAAATAAATAAAAGTAATTTTCACTTCAAGATAATAAAACAGGTTTTTTCGGCCGGCGTCAACAAAACCATGTGATTCTTATTAACCGCTTCTCGAGAAACGGGTAGTTATATTTCGACTTTAACAAAGACACTGGGGAGCTGCTTAACCCAGAAAGCCGAGTTTTTCCCTCAAGCCACAATACAACACCGGGTTCCACCACCACCGTTTCTGACACAAGACGTGATTGCTAACGCACCCCTACTCAAAATATAGGCTACCCAGCTCTCTGGGTTTTGCTGGATCGCCTACCCAACCCCATGGCGTACTTCTTCGAACCCCCAATTCCAGAAGGTCACAGACGTCTGAGGTGGAAATGCGTAAGATCATGTCACTTCTATCCTCGGTGGCAGAGAGTCATGCTGAAATTGAACATAGGCATGCGGCGCCCAGCTCTGGGATGACTATATTGAACTTTTCCTGGGAGCCCTGGACACTCTTGAGAAAGAGCTCAAAGAGGAATGCACAGATAATACTTTAGCTAGGGATAAAACGGTTGTTGCCATGGGACACGATATATTAACAAACATTGGGCGACTGACCCGGCTTTGCACACGTCCATTCTCACGGATTTGGCATACGATCTTCAGCAAACCACAGGCGAACGCCGCTACTACAGGAGGATTACCTATGCATCAGCTCGCTGCCCAGACAGTCCCGGCTCCTTTCAACCCTCCACCTACAGAGATCATTCGTCTCCTGATATGCCTCAATAAAGGGATGACACAGACGCAGTTGCACCGGAAAGAGGTTCATAGTTACTCAACCGACCGGGACCTTTTTGCCGCTCTTCACAGAGAATACTCGGATTGGCGAAAGCCCAGAACATGGTTTACCCTACGTGGTATTAGCCGCTTAGCACTTTGCAGGGTACGTGAATCTGAATCTGATCATCAGCATCATCGAAATCATGGTAAAAAGGATAGAGACTTGTAATCTCGCATTTTTTTTTTAAAGCATGAAGACTAACTAGAAGCTTGTGTCTAGTTTTCTGTCGATTCCAGCGACTTCACAGAGGTTCACAAGCACGAGCACGCCTGCGCGTCCTCAAGTTCACAGAGCTGCATATGCTTACCGCCATTGTCAAAGGTTGCTCAGGACGAATACAGGTGCACCCCAGCCCCAACGGATCCCCCAAAGCAAATGCCACCCATAGCACCGAATCGCTTAACGCACTACTTCTTACACCCGGAGCTGATAAAGGATAAACAAAAGTCGGTTTACTCACAGATTCCCAAGGCAGTGAATCATGAGTTGAGGGCATCAGCAGAGAATGAGATTATGGGCTGGGGGATCCACTTCGAGGAAGGGTGGCATTGGAAGACCATTTATCTGATTGTGGTGGTGTTTCTCGTTGTGTCCAGTTTGGTGTTTGGGATTGCTTGGTCCGCTACCAGGTCGGATATACAGGGAGGGTTTGCTATTTCTTCTGTGTGGATTAACCTGGCTGCTATTTTGCTGGGGTATCTGGCTGTTAATAGTCAATAAGCAGCAGTGTATGAATATACTTTATCGAGTCTTCTAGTTCCCCATTCCTGTGTAGATTACCCTTCCGTCATTGCCTTCCTGATTGCTTGTTCTATTTTCTTTATGAGGTATCAGGAGCTTCCCTATTTTTGTCTGTTTGATCTCCGTGCTCTCTCGGAGAGCACGGAGAGCAAGAAGGCACAAAATACTTCAGAGAACCTATATAGATATTGTACATACTACAAGTAGGGAGGTAACCGGGCACTCTCCGTCCCGAAGGAATCTGATTCCTTACACAAGTAATACAGTTCACTTGTCTACAATTTTACTCTCGCTAACTTTTTGTTGGAACAACCTACTATTGACAGTGAACCCCGTGTCTGAGACGCGTGCCACAACCTTCAATTGCCCTTGTCATCCTACTACCCTTGGCGTACTGCCTTGCAGTGTGTACCCATCTTCGGTGCAGGTTGTAATAAGTACATTTCCTGTCGTTAGTTGGTAAATTTTCTATTCCAACTGATATGTCCTTGCAGCTGTCAGGACTTACAAAAGACCCCCGAAACACCGTTTTGTTTCTTTTCATTCAAAGCCTCCAACTCACCCTTTGATGCATCAGAAAATATCACAACAAAAAGGGCGTGTGGCTCAGTTGGTAGAGCGCCCGCTTAGCATCGTTCCTTCTTCCTTCCAAGGAACTTAATAGTACTTTGCGGAAGGTCCCCGGTTCGATTCCGGGCTCGTCCAATCATCCTTCTTTTTGAAGCTTTTTGGTCATCTATGTATAATATGCTTTGTCTTTTTTTTTTTTTTTTTTTTTTAATATTTTGTTTCTCTTTGCTGGTAGTCCGCGGTTTCAGATACATAGCAAGTCGTCTATCCGTGGCGGACCATTTAATGTGCGTGCGTGCGTTGCGCTTGGGGTTGGAAGGCTTCAAGACCAACCAGTTCCCTCCACTATGTATGTACATGTAAATGTAAGTGCATCGAGGATTGTCAGTATCGAAACATTTAGGTCGAGGGAGAGACGTCAAAGACAACCACGTTTCTAAATTCGAACCGATAGTTGTTGAGAGGGAACGGAAATTTCTCTTTTTCAACATATAGTATGTAATTTAAATCCTTCAAACAACTAACTAAAATCATGTGCACTAAGAAATGCATGTATATGAACAAACAATCGCGAAAAAAATAAAATAAATAAAAATTAGAAAGTCGGTGCAATCTTTAACGGCATCCTCTCAACCCCTCCATGATTTCCCAATCTGAACGACCTCAGTGAGGTTGTAGACAGTCGGGTGGCATGTGCACTCTGATGCTGTGAAACAGACCTCACACTCATACTCCTACCCGGCCGGCTTCCCCCGCTCCCCACAGATGTCACACTGCCATGAGGGGAAGGCGGCACTGAAGCCCCCCTAGATCGGACATTGAGCTTCCCCATCATGGCATTCATAGCTGTGGCTGCATCCAATGGCGGAGTTGGAGGGGATCGGACGGCATGGTTTCCGGACATATTGAAGCTGTGACCGGGGGTAGTACCCGACGAAGAAAAATGAGGACCTCTCGCAGAGTGCATCATGCTTCTATTGTTGTATGACGCCATCATTCTCTCAATTGATGGGGCCCGCGATGATCCTCGGACATGTAGTGACTTTGTCGAGCTTGATGGAGGGGTTGGAGGCCTTCCTGGTCTTCCAACTCTCCCATGATCGTGCTGTTGTTGTTCCATCGCAGCTTGAATCTGCTCAAAAGACAGGTTTGTGGGAAGTTTGCTCAGCCTGCGGATGGAACGCATGTTGGCATCGATGAAATTCGACATTGCTCTAACCGCCGTGTTGTTTTCGTGTGTTGCCATTGCATTTGTCTCTACTGGGGGAGTAATCGCCCTCGCCAAGTGCATTGCGTTGAGTGTCTGAGGAGCAGGGCCCGATCTTGGGGCACTGCGTATGCTTGCTTGAATACGGCTCATGACACTGTCGAAATCAACGCCCGTGTTTTTCTGTTGAGCAGACACGTAAGCTGGTGCGGCTCCGAGAACCGTCTCCTGGGTCAAAATAAAGAATGAGCCATCCTTGATCCTCCTCCGCACCAGGTTCCATCGTGTCCTTGCCGGGTTTCGCTCTAGCTCAGGGGAGTACACCTTGTGTTGGGAAAGCTTAAAGTAAAAGACCTCTAGTCTCCTCGCCATCCGCTCGAGGGTTTGCATCAGGAAGGAGGCAAGAACAGTCAGTCTCTGCTCATCGCTTCCGGCCTCCATGGCCATGACGCTCTCAAAAGCATCCATGCCGTGGCATGCCTCTTCACGGATATCCTCAAGCAGCTCAATGTCCAGTTCGACGCTCTTGCCCGCGTAGTTGAAGATGCCACGCTCAGCAAACCGTACATTGCTGCTGCTTTCACAAACAAATTGGCCCACAAGAGCAACTTCTTGTGACGTGGCAACGGCTTCTGGAGACGTCTTTGCACGGGCAATGATGCCAAGCACATCAGGTAACCTCATGTTATCACCTGAGCCTGCTGCATCAGCAAGGGTAAATGAAAGCTTGAGAACAAGTTCCTGAAGCTTGGGCCCGAACAGCGCTGCGAACCCTCCCTGAAGGAGGCGAGACTGGTAGTCGTAGAACATACGGACGCCCAAGCCAATATTGACCAGATTCTCACGGGACCAGATATTTTCCGAACCTTGGAGATACTTTTGACTAGTCCCGTCATCACTAGCACCCATAATCTCGTACATTTCGAACTGATGAGCCACCAGTGTCTCAACCGTGACGCGCAGATATGCAGACCAGAGGTCGTAGAGATCACCCAGCTCGGGGACCGTGTGGAAGTCGGGCTTTGGCGTCAGCTGACCCACAAAGTACTTGGTGAGAAGACTGCTAACTTCTGGATTGTTTGTGTGCGCAAGGTTGTCGAATGACTTGGAACAGTCAACACCAGCATTGGATTTGATGATAAAAGTACCACCAGGATGCATCGGGCAAAAGTCGGTCACATCGTAGACGCTACCATGGACACCAATCCACATCCGACTGTCAGGTCGATGACCAGTATGGCGCGCGAGCTGAGATAGAGGGATCGTAGGAAGGTTGCACGGCATGGGTTTGGGTGTCATGAAGACATCAAGCATAAAGCGCCGCTCGGCAAAGGCCCTGTTGATGATAGTTTCGGCGGTCTCCATGGTTGCGCTGCAATGGTTGTAGATGGCTTTGCGAATGCCGTTCATGACCGAGTCAAACACGGCAACAGAGCCACAGACGTAAAGGTAGCCACCCAAACCTCCCTGCTTTTTGGACATGACGAGCTCGGAAATTGTGGCTGCTTGTTCCACGATAAGGGCGTCAATGTAGCGGGGTGGCATTTCCTTCTCAACAAGATCATGCGTGCGGCGATCATAGACCAGACCCCTATTGTCTCGGGAGAAGGCAAGGTGGACCTCCATGAGGCCGGCTTCGACATAGTCCCGAAGCTCCTCTTCGTAACAGAATTTGTCACGAGATTGAACACCCAGATAAAGAATATCTCTCCCTGTTGCGTTGTTGTGGGAAGCGAGACGAGCCTGCCAGAAGCTGCGGAAAGGGGCAATGCCACTCCCACCAGCAAAGTAAGCGCATGGTGCTGCTCTGTCGATTGGCAGCTGGAAGTTGAGAGGCCGAGACACGCCAATAAAGATATCCTCGTCAGTCTCGATCAATTCGTCACTCGAGTTGAGGAAGGGGTTAAGAAAGCCGCTACCGACACCAGCGCGAACCTCTTTGTCGTTGCCGGCAAATGTGGAAGAGAGCATGTATTCTGCTCTGGAAATGCTCAAGTCGACGGCCGATGGAAGAAGCTCCTGGGAATAGTTGGAGATGGAATAAGTTCTTGGAATCTCAACGGGAATCAGATCCGTCAGCCATGCCATATCGCCCGTCAGATCAAATGCCTGATCCCAAATATGAGGGTTTGTATCTGTCAAGGCCGCTTGAAGCAGGTCGCCAAGCGAGCCGCTGACCGGCCACTCAGTTGTGGCCAAAACCTGGAGGACTGTGTTGGATGAAGCGCGAAGCATGTCGTGTATCTTGAGGGCAAGCTCCTTGGTTATAGGCGCGAGATGACCACGCCTCAGGATGTCCTTGACCGTCAGCTGCGGGGTTGAGGTATGTGAGACGGAACCGATGTGCTGGGCGAACCGCTTCCACTGCGCGTTTAAAGCGACCCGGTATTCCAGGTAACCTCCCAGTCCAAGAGCGGCAGCGACCTTTGCACACTCGGTCCAACTATTCAATGGCATTACCGCAAGCCGATCCCCCGGCTGAAAAGTGATTCCGGTGTTGTGCAGATCGAGTGTCACCATGGCAATGGAGCGGTTGGGATCATTATCAACAAAGGCGCGGCTGATGATTCGGGATTTGTATCGGCACTCCTCAAAGGTTCCGCGCATCTCATGAGGCTCAACTGCAAGATTGCCTCGGTAAGGCTCGAGTCGTTCCTTCATAGCCTCGGAGAACTGCTTGTGTGTTTCTTCCCAGGGCCTAGTGTTGGAGTCCGGGGCTCCAGACAAACCGTTTGTTTCCGTGCGACCTGTCTTGCTAGCAATCTCGAGAATGCCAAACACCTTATACCGATGTGTGCCCATGAATCCTCTCTCCCCGGTGTAGGCTTCAATGATGCCATCCAGGACGCCCATAAGCCGGGGGTCACCGGACTGCTGAACAAACTCTGGAATGCGGTAGTGGTAGTCAATGGCGGCGATGAATGCTCGCAAGTTCGAGGGCAGCCATGCTCTAAGATGAAGCCCTTCCTTCCCGAGGAACGAATCGTATTTCTTGCGACCCAGAAATGCGTCCATGACGAGGAATGGTGGGAACTGGAGACCAGAGGATGCCGGGCAACGCTTACTCAAGGGTGCTGAAAACTTACCCCATCTTACCCACTGGTGACCGGGGACGTAGTTCTCCCCCGAGTTGGGGTTGGTGTTGATGGTGTGGAAGGCATTGGGCATGCGTTCGAGAATCTCTTTCAGGCGTACCATCTCTCGGAGAAGGCCTTCAACATTGCGGTTCATGACATGTTCTTGGCAGGCTGCGATGGCGTCAGGCCCATGCTGAAAAGATGCTGAGGTGTCGGCGCAGCCCTTTTGGAAGGCAATCTCGGTCCGCTCTCCGAACACGGGCCAGCGCATCTCCATGTTGTCGAATCGTCCGACGTAGGGGTACGTCGACGTTGGATCCTTGATCTTCATATTGAACGAAGACTGGTCGAAGAAGGTGAGGTGAGGGATGGAACGTCCAAGCCGTCGGGAGATCTGCCAGTACGGGAGGCCAATGCTTCGAGGGATGTTGATCAACTCTTCACCCAGGTCATCACTCATCTCGCAGTTTGGTCGATACTTTGTGTGATTTACCGTTACGCCCTCATGTCCGTCGTTTTTATCCTCGTACCGATAGATAGAGCACAGCATCCCTAGCGCAACAACAGCAGCCCAGAGAGCCTTATCGGGGATGATGTCTGGGGTTCCTTGGACAATAGGCAGGGCGGCAACCGATTCTCTTACTCGACCTCGTGCGACACAACCGGGCATCCGTTCGCAAAGATCGGACCATATCCTCCCCGGTGAGTTGGCTAAAGCGCCCGGTGACTCGTTATAGTCCGGAGGACAAAAGCCGTGCTCGACGCTGAGGTAACCATCCTTCCAACCTGTCCTTTGACCAATCTCCTCAGCTCTGATCATGACCTGTCGTGCTGGGGCGCCAAGCGCAACT